TATGAGTTGTAAATAGGGTACTTACAAACCCGGAGCCTTCCAAATCGGCTCTGGCAGAATAGTGTATGTGGTTAAGGACCACACTCCTTCTTTTGAAATAGCCTGAAGAATGCCAACAGTGAGTTATAAAAATATATTTACTTTATTATACTTTTATCAATAGGAAAGATAAAAAATATAAATATATATATATAAAAACAACACTAAATGGGCACTAAAAGTCCAACATCATATACATGTGTACGATTGTATAAAACCCAGTACTTTAAATAGGGTTTGTTAAGACAGTATACTATATTGCATAGACATCCTAATTTTCTGCTAGACATGTGCACAGTGAACGAGTTCAGTTCAACCAAATCAATTCAAGAAGATTTGAAATGGTATTTTCAGAATTTGTTCACCTGGCATATCAGTTTGGTCGAATTTCACCAAGGCAATAGTTTAATAGTAATATTAACAAATGGACCAATCAGTGTGCTTCAAAATATATACAAGTGAGAAGTAACCATTAGAAAAAAAACTATTGTTTGACCATTGTCTGTTTTGTTTGTTTCGTAATTTGTCCATGTATGATCTCAGATATGCAGAATTTGGAAGTACCAACGATCACTTATAATGCACGAGTTTAGTATATTCCACTTAAAATTCAAGAGTCTTACAATCACTATGATTATAAAACTGATTATATATCATCACGCTCAATTATAATTAATGTGGCTAAATCTGTAGTTTGTAAACCTAATCAGATAATGCAACCTGATTAGATTGAGCACATGGACATATTTTGCATTCCTTCCAACTGATAACAGAAATTTGCTTGTGAATTTACTTTTTATGAAGCTTCTGGAAATGTTAAACATATACTTCATGCACTATAAGCACTACAGAACCACTTGCTGGTACTCATCCAGAGTTGTCAACTAATCTAGGTCCCTGGGTACCCACTCCATATCAGTTGTCTCTTGCAGGGGATGTCAAATGTCTTCTGAGCTAAACCTAGCCAATACAGGACCATGGTCATTGGCTGAAAGTGCTTAGTTGAGGATCTAAGCCAATGAGCACAGCCCAACACTGACCTGCTCATCTCGGTGAAGCTAACCAGATTATTCTACAATGAGAATCTGGATGCAGATGCTGCTGGACACAGATAAGTTGTAAAACAATCCTGATAATGGTTTTACAAATAACTCTGGGAGGGCACCAGGACACTCTTGGCACCATAAACACTACACAGACAGTACCAAGATAAAAATAAATAAAGAACATTTCTATTTTAAATGAAATGTTGAACATAATTGTGTGGATTTATTTAATTCCACTCTGTTTTCTTTTGCACAAGATGTCCTAATAAACATATATTTAAATCTAGGAATCATTTAATACCAGAATGTGGACAATGGAGAATATAGAAGCTCAGCAAAACAAATCTAAATGTTATCTAAATTACACAATAGAAAAACAGGCAAACTCTATAAAACCATTTAGGATTTAATTTCCCTTTTTTCAGTTTGATAAGGAGTCAGAGTTAGGTTTCCGAGATGATGAAATTGCTTTAACCCCTTAAGGACCAAACTTCTGGAATAAAAGGGAATCACGACATGTCACGTATGTCATGTGTCCTTAAGGGGTTAATCAGTTTTTGGATGGCACAAGCAAAAAACACTAATGTAAGTTGACTATGCTAGAATTATTCCTGAAAAATAGCTATACCAATATATAAACATTTAGTGAGAGAGAAGAGAGAGAGGAAGGAAGGAAGGAAAGAAGGAAGGGAAAAGGCAATAAGAAAAGAAGGAAGGTGGAGAGATGAAGAGAAAGTCTCACAGGACTGTCATTTAATTTCCTTAACTCATGAGTTTCCAAAACAGTCGTGCATAAATCAAAGGATAGCTGCAATGTATGCAAACTGCACCTTACCCCATACCTCTGACATTTGCATATATAGTCATCTTTTATCATTTAAATATATAGCAGTTGTGGAAGCGGCAAGATTCCCTAAGGCACGAAAAACTCCAACCCATAATTATATATATATACCTCTTTATAGCTCTGGTGTAGCTTGGCCAGGCTGGAACTGCAGAGACCAGGTTATAGACATAAACTTACTGGTGGAACATTATCTTTCCTCATCATCCCACGTCGTGATTTATACTGGAACATTATATCTTATAATGGATAAAAGCAAAGTACGGCCATTATTGGTCCCTCATGGCCAGAGAAGATAAATGAGGACACATGGGTTGTGGCAGATGGAGAAAGCATAAGAGAAATAGTGAAAGACATGGCAGGAGATTGAAATATACATTGAGATAATAGTAGAGAATTATTTAGGTATACAAGAGTAACGAGTAAAATAATAGAAACAAATAAGATAATAGTTACGAAGGAATGAGGGAAGAATTAGAGTTTTGACGTGCAACACCACTCAGCAAGAAGGTATCCCTTCTAGTATGTACTATTGACCAAACCTCTTGATGGGTTATTCCTCCACTAAGTACGAGCTAACACCTCTATATTAACATAGAGTTAATTGTTTCTAAATATAGCTAGGACATTTTATAGAAAATTGACACTATTGGATTTGTAAGCTCCTTTTGGTAGGGCCATTTTCACTTACTGTTCCCGTATGTCAAACGTGTTTTGTTAGAATAAAATGTTTGTCTTGTTTACCTTTTGTGCAGTGCTGAGGAATATGCATGTGCTATATAAGTAATTGGTATACTACATCCTTTTCCCTTTTCCTATTTGACAAAGGTCTTCTTTTCTAGAAAGTGATATGCACTCTATAAAGATTAAGTGACATTGTCTTTACTAACCTAATACCGTCAAGAGCTAACAACACCATCTGTATTTACAGAACGGCATGGCTAAAAGCTGGTAATTAGATGTATGCACAGTTTTGCTAATTTCAGTTATCATCTCTTGTGACTACTAACACAAACTTCAGTTTCAATATACAACATAAGGCGGAAGAAATATATATATATATTTCTAAGGCTAGTAGATTAATTAATTAACAAATAAAAAAATCTGTATTTGAAAGAAAGAAGTCATTGATTTACAGAGTAGCAGTTTGACAGTGAGATAAACTACCACACTAATTTTTCACCAACACAATAGATTTATGTGTAATTCAGACACTTTTCCAACAGAAAACTGGCAGGATTTTGTAGGATTGTGTATGTCCCGGCCCCTGCATATTGGCAGCAAGGGGGCTCTAAATAAGTTTACAATGCATGCCAAGGCCCACCACCCCAATTAGTGGCATTGCCTGCCCCCTCCTTACCCCCACGGGATCCTCAATCTCCTAGCTACTCCCTTTAAAATAAAATAAATCTACCTAACCTCCATCACCCCAATAGTATTGAGAGGGGACAATAAAAATAATATTTGTTCAATTAAAAGTATACTTACCATAAGAAGTCTTCTTTTTTCTAAATCTTCTTTTCTTCAGTCCCAAAAAAGAAATTTTTTCTAATGAATAAAAAAAAGGAAAAATTAAAAATAAAACCCAATTCATAAAAAAAAAAAGTGATGCAGAAAAAAGCATTGATATTAATCCGGTCCGCTAATGTATCAAGTGGAAGAATGATAGATCCAACCACGGCCCATTTTAAGCTTTCTGGCAGAGGCAGTCAGGTTTTCATTTAATATCTGTTGATATATCTGTTGATATTTGATAGAGTCCATGAGGCCATGTATCCTAACAATATGTGCAGATCCTCGGGAAGAAAAATAGCCACAAAACATCAAAACGCCATCATCATATTTAAGCGTGGACATGAGGTTCTTTTCCATATGGTTACCTCTCTGTGTGTACCAAACCCATCAATGGTCTTAGTTAGTTAGGGTTTTTTCTTGAAAAAACTTGTGGTAATGTAGGTGATGTTAGATTGTATTTTTGGAGACTTTTTCACCCGAAGAAGCAACTAACTTCTGCAATTCTCCAGCTGTGATGCGTGGAGATATTTTGGTTACTTGAACCATCCTCTTCACAGTACATTGAGACAATATAGGCACTCGTCCTCTTTCAGATTGATTTAAAACATTTCTAGTTAACTGAAACTTCTTAAAGGGACACTATAGTCACCAGATAATATCAGCAAAGGATGCTGAGCGGGGTGGGGCCAGCCGTGAGCAGAATAGTGCAGTACTAGTGAGTAAAAACAGCATTTTAGCAGAGCAGGGGGAGATGCCAGAGCCCAAAACGGTGCTTTTAAAACTACAGTGTCAGGAATACATGTTTGTTTTCCTCACACTATAATGTTCCTTTAATTATTGTGTTGATGGTGGAAATGGGCCTTCCCAATGCCTTTGCTATTTTCTTATTGTCAATTCCCATTTTTTGAAGTTCAACAACCTTCTTCCGTGCATCACAGCTATATTCCTGGGTCTTGCCCATTGTGATGAATGACTAAGGGATTTTGGAATATGTGTTACCTCATATTTATATTCCTAGTCACCTAGGTGAACTAAAAATGTAAATTCAAATGCATTTTTTCCTGTATAAATTTATAGGGGTGCCAGTAATTGTGCCACACATACATTTAACAAGATTTTTTTTTTTTTTTTTTATAAACCTGTGTTGTGTTTGCAATAGTTTGATATTCATGAGAGAGACAGTAGTCACTATCACCAGGAGCATAAGATGAATACTTCAGTTAGGTCCCAGAGGGCTCCTATGCCTAAGTCACCCAGTGCCCATTGTGGGTTCAGAGTGTGTATAATGTATTGTTTATTGTCAAATGTTTGTGTGCTCTCTGTCCTGCTGATGCTTGCAATCAACTAGGTGGATTTGGTGGGGAGCCTGTAAAGTGCCATCTGTTGGTTGCAAGGATCTTTAAACAGCTATATGCACTACCTATTTTGTTGAGTTGTCACCATAAGTTACATGTAATGCGCTGAGTTAAAAATGAAACTGTGAAACCCAACCTCTCAGTGCCTGGCGAAGCACACCGCGACCTCCCGCCACCAGCGCTGCAAATCGAGAGACCAAACAAAAGCGTACCCCTCAGCACACCATCAAAGCTGGATCCAGATATGGAGGCACCTTGCCCAGAGTTTCCAAGAGAGACACTTGTAGAAGCGGCGGCCGGGACTTCCCGACATTGGGCATAGGCTGAAAGCCCCAACGTAAAGCCCTACAAGGACAATGCCTTACATCAACTGATGACTCTAAGTTTTGTTTTTTTTGTTTGTTTTTTGCGGTTTGTCTTTTATACATAGACCTGTGATGCTTTGTAGCAGCGGCCATTTAGCTCTAAAGCGGCCACGTGTGCGCAGCTATGGGGAAGTAAAAGCGCCTGCCTGCTTGCCTAGCAATTACCTGCTTCCCAGTAGGGGTTTTATCTACTTCCCAACTCGTATCTCATAAGCATGTAGCTAACTCTGTTTTTACCTAACCACCCACATGTATAGCTAACCTATACTGAATGCAGAACCCATAGCTTCACATAATCAGACATACATGTACAGCCTGGAACCCAACTATAAAACGAGTGTACTAACGTTAAACTTTTGTTTAAGCTAACACTTCTCCTAGATTCTCACTCTAGCTAAACAACCCCATGCTGTCAGTTAAAGTTTCTAGAGCTTAGTATATTGTCGAATTATTGCTTACTGACATAGTTTTAACGTATCATCTATTTGCTATATACCTAAAAATTGTGTCTAGCTCGATTCAACATAATAATAACAAAAAATGTGCAGATTCCAGGTGCCGAATTGAATGTTTGTTGCTTACTCTATGAGTGCTGTTGTGGCACTTCACATATACCTGTATTTACCTTGCACAGTAAAAATAAAGAATTAAAAAAAAAAAAAAAAATGAAACTGTGAGTGTTAGTTCCTTTTGGAACTGTGTGGATTTGTTCAGGGATTCCAGGAACAAAGTCTTCAGACCTGTTGACTGGCTGATTGCTTCCTGTAGCCTATGACAATTCAATGGCCTGAGAGCCACAAGTGCCTTTATAGAGGTAGGAGCTAGTCACAGTATAGGCAGAGGTGTTTAGATACCTGCCTGGAAGGAGAGAGCTGCAGAGGGGACGATACCTGCTTGGCAGTAGAGAACTGCAGCCTGGTCGGGTGGAAGAGTTCCTGAAAGCCCCAGTCAAGCTTTGGTGACTGTGGCTGACGCATTCCAGGGTTGTAAAAAGCAGCTCAGAAGAGGAGGTTAAACAATAAAGATAAATTGTCACAACCTTCTTTGCTGATTTACCAATAGTGCCAATATTAGTGGAGGGCACTGTCGTTGGCTGGGTAGGCAAATGCAGCTATTTTCTTTGCAATAAAAAGTCAAGATTTAAATTCTGATTTGTATCAGCTATCAAAATCTTTGTTGTTGGAGGTATAGGCAGGAATTGTGATGCTAAAAAAAAGAATCTCTTCTTTTGTAACAAGAACAATGCATATACAACATATGTGATTTAGCTTTCAAAAAAGAAGTATGCCAGACAAATAAACATCTGGTCTCAAAATAAATAAATGAATACATTAGCTGCATTCCTGCTGATTAAATAATCCACATACAGTTTTTCGAGCTGATTTAACAGGATATTTTACATCAAAGGCACTAGAAAAGCATTAATTACTTTGGGGTAGGGTGGTGAAAGGTAAAAAAATACACATTAATAACAATAATATACAATGATATGAAAGATATACCCAAAAATGTTTTAACAATTTGAAAACAACTTAAATATGTTTTATAAGTATGAAGTATTCATGCTATAAATGCAAGGGATACTATAGGAACCTAGACCACTTCATCTCAATGCTGATACCTCAACAATGCTGATACCTCAACAAATATAGTACAGGTTTTAATGACAATTTAGGGGACAATGACTTAATTCAAAACCCCATTGTCGACATATATTTATGAAATATGTTATGATTACTTTTTATTTTTAACCAAGTTCAAGGCTTTAACCAAGTTCAAGGCTTCAGTTAATTGATATACGTTTTACAATGTTGAACCTTTTGGTAGGATTGAGCAAAATCTACTGCCATAAATCACTTGAGTAACAACATCAAACATGAATAACTAAGAAATCAAGCAAAACAGATATATAAAAAAAATAAAATGTATATATTTTTTTCACATCTTGAGTTTCTCACACCATAGGGTTTCATTCTATTACAAGATGCTAGCATAGTTCGGGTAATTAAATAACAATGTTCATATAGCTGTCAATGGAAGAACTGCTAGCCAATTACCAGAATTGAGCTAAGCTCATGCAATAGAACCACTAACCATTAGCTCCAACAGGTGAACTGACAGAATACTTTATCACGCTTTGCTTTTGAGAAAAGAAAGGGAGGGCAGTTTGTAAAAGCAGGGAGTATGTCAAGTATGTCACGTGTTCTGCTCAGGGGGATATTGTGAGGGGCTGTTTATCTATCATCTTTAGCCATATTAATAGCAGGTGCTAAATATTTATTTACCTTGTAGAATCTTTAACAAGTTGGTAAATATGTTAAACTAGCAATGTGATAGAGTGTCCTATTTTGTTTAATTTATATCGTCATATACCTTATGCAGTCAATTACGTACTAAATTAATGTCATATAATAATAGGTATCAGGGCTATTTTGCTCAGAGTACTTAGCTGCACTGAGCATTTCTAAAAACGAAATGTAACACACCAACAAAAGGACACACATTGTATCAAATGCCATTGAACTTTCCAGAAACGTAACTTAGGTAATTAATTTCCTTCCTAGAAAAAAGTTAAAATGCAGAAAATGACATGTAAATAAAATATCAGTAGTTACCATAATATATATCTATATATATATAATTACATCTATCATGAAATGTCAGCTCTGTGACAGTGATTCATGTTCCTTACTAAAAGGTTCTAATTTTACAGCAATTATATAAAATTATAGCAATAAATTCAGTGATCATTATGGGTAATATATGAGCGATACATTAATATTGAACCTTTTATTTCTCTGCAGCCTATTTCTACTCTTCACCAAGATTTGTTCTTCAAAATGTATTTAGTTGTATATAGATCATGGTGGAATATAGCTGTATTAAAAGCGACAAAAATATATCCAACCTTCAAATTACAGTCCCAAAAATGATAGAACACAGGTTCCCTGAAAGTGAAGCAACTTTACTTTCCATAATTAGAAATAACGGCTGATATTTTCATATATTTTAGTTCATGTTTTATTAATTTAGGTTTGATTTCACACGTTTACGTAAAAGTTTTAAAACTATAAGCCATCCTGCAATTTGGCTTCAAATGTTGGGACACCAGAAAGCCATAAGCTATTAACCCCTTAAGGACTGAGCCAAATGTACACGTTGTGATCAAAACGTAAACAAAAACTTGAAATTGCGCTATATGTCTGTTCAGGCGTAATTCACCTCTTTCATATTAAATGCACCCACACTTATTATATATCATTTTATTCAGGGGAAACAGGGCTTTCATTTAATATCAAATATTTAGGTATAAAACATAATTTAATATGAATAAATTTAAAAAAATGGGAGAAAATAAGAATTTAAAAAAAAAGTTTAGTTCTACGTGACATTTTAACTGTGAATGTCATAAAACTGTTTGCTTTTACTGCAATAAAATACACAAATTTGTATTCAGTCATGTCTCACGTGTAAAACAGTACCCCCTATGTACAGGTTTTATGGTGTTTTGGGAAGTTACAAGGTCAAATATAGAACGTTACATTTTTCAGTTTTTTCACATTGAAATTCACCAGATTGGTTATGTTGCCTTTGAGACTGTATGGTAGCCCAGAAATGAGAATTACCCCCATGATGGTGTACCATTTGCAAAGTAGACAACCAAAAGTATTGCAAATGGGGTACATCCAGTCTTTTTTAGTAGCCACTTGGTCACAAACACTGGCCACAGTTAGTGTTAATATTTGTTTGTGTGTGAAAATGCAAAAAACTAATTTGAACGCCAATTTTGGCCAGTGTTTGTGACTAATTGGCTACTAAAAAAGACTGGACATACCCCATTTGCAATACCTTGGGTTGTCTACTTTTGCAAATGGTATGCCATCATAGGGGTAATTCTCATTCCTGGGCTACCATACAGTCTCAAAGGCAACATAACCAATCTGGCGAATTTCAATGTGAATAAAGTGAAACGCATGCCCTATATTTGACTCTGTAACTTTCGAAACAACCAAAAAAACCTGTACATGGGGGGTACTGTTATACTCAGGAGACTTCACTGAACACAAATAATAGTGTTTCAAAACAGTAAAACGTATCACAACAATTATATCATCCGTGTAAGTGCCAAAAAGTGTGTGTAAAAAATGCAAAAAAATGCACTTTCACTGACGATATCATTGTTGTAATACATTTTACTGTTTTGAAACACTAATATTTGTGTTACAGGGTTAAATATAGTGCTAGCAAATTAAATTCCCTGGACTTTCGGCCTGGGTTGTCAGGCAGGTCCCGCAAAATTTAATTAATAAAATGACCTAATTATGTAAAATTATTACATAACTATATATGTAGAATTATTATATATATATATATATATATATATATATATACGTGTGTGTGTATATATATATACATATATGTGTTTGTATGTATATATGTATATAATTTTTTAAAATTATTTTTATTTATATATAGGTATATCTATAGTGATATATACGTATATACTTATGTATATATATATATATATATTATTTTGCTCTAAGTGTATTTTGATATCAATATATAGATATATATTAATTTTAAAATACAGTTAGAACAAAATTACACATATAATTTTTTTATTATTTTTTAAATTTTATTTTTAACGTGTTTAAATATATATTTATTTTATATTATATATAAATATATATATATATATAATGATAATTATATATATTTAATCAATATCATTGTATGTGTATTTTGATATTAATATATATATATAACTATATATATATATTAATATTAAAATACACTTAGACAGTGTATGTGTATTTATGTGTATGTGTGTGTATATATATATATATATATATATATATATATATATACTTAGATCATATATATAATAAATCTATATATATGATCTAAGTATATATTATGTATTGTTACACTGTTTTAAACATTTTAATTATTTTTTCAGGCATCAGGGGGAGTTCCTATCACGACAGGCACTCCCCCTGCTGGCATTGCCTTGGACGGCTATGCCGTCCATGTGATCGCGAGGTCCTTGCGAGGACCTCGCGATCACATGGCCCGGGGGGGGGCGAAGAGGACGGAGGGGGACTCCCTGGGCTCCCAGGTAAGTCCCCATACCGCGATCACATAGCACGTCCCCCGTCCTTAAGGAGTTAAAATATTGTATTTTAAATGTAAACACAAGTAGGGATGCATTGTCTGGATGTTGATCATTACAAATTAATCTTCTGTTACCAAACAGGTTAGTGCAAACTACATAGCAAACTTGTGCACAACAGGAAAATTTGATTGGGCCAAATAAATGTTCTCAAAATTTCCTGAACATTTTGTTTTGAATGTTTCCTTCTCATTCGTTTGATAGTTTGGTTCAGTCGCATATCTTCAATGGAAAAATAGTCAGGGAAACATTTGGACAAACCAAAAATGGCCCAAAAATTGTCCAATCAGCCCACTTTCAAATAAATACATAAGATACATAATAGGGGAGAGAAAAATAAAAAAAAAACAA